TCGATTTTCCAGTGAAGAATTGATCCGAAAAAAAATATGGAAGAATCTATGGTAGATAATCACCTAGATCCCGAAATGGCTCGGGGACTCGATAATTGTGACTGTGCACCTGTTTTCCAGGCCATATTTCTAAGCCTTGCCAATTATGAATCGAAAAAAAAAAAAAAAGTTCATTTGACTAAACACAAATACTATATTTCAAATTTATGATTGAATCATAAGATGAACTGTATGGTATACCTGGAACATCAGCCAATTTCGGTTGAGTATGATGACCATTACAAACAACTACTGCATCAAAGATCTCGTTCGAGCTCAAATCATTCGCTCTCGACTCAACAACCCATTGATCGTTCCTCGAGTCAACTCGGTCGACTCTTACAAACTCGGTCTCGAACCTTATCATCTCAGCCAATCCAAATTCAACCGCAAACTCATTCAAAAACTCGAGCACCTCCTCATGACTAGGAAAAGTCGTCGAATCACCGTACTTTCTAGTTACGAACGGATAATCGGAAAACCCCATAAGCTGCCTAGGGAGATTAGTGCAGAGCGAAAGGTATAAGCTGCCATGTACAATTTCTCTGTTTGGATCTAGACTTAATGGATCGGATTCGATTTTAGGATCGTAAACCCACGTGCCACCAAGATTGTCCGATTTTTCGAAAACAACAACTTGTTCAAAACCTTCACTTTTGAGGGCTCGGGCTGTGGCCAGGCCCGACACACCGGCTCCGATCACCGCCACCTTCAGAAACGGTGCCATTTTCCTTTTTTTTTTTTTTTTGGAGAGAGTTGACTGAATTTTCTTGTTGTTTACTTAGTGTACAAGATCAAATGAAATTATAACAATTAACAATTATACAAGATCACATGAGTCTAATATTATATATTAAAAAAAAAATTGTAATAACAATTAACAATTAAAATAGACTTTAACAATTATCAGCGTTGAAAAATTAAGATGAAACAAGTACTGAAATTTTGGGTAATAATTCAATCAATATCAGTATTCAGTACCAATCAATAGACGAAAAATTCAACTCCCAATAATCGGGACCGAGTTTCACGGATCGTTGTTACTCTCCACAGAATGAACCCTAGTTCACCTGCAATTTTATACATTTATCAGAAAAAATAAAATTACCGGTCAGAAAAACGCCGTCCACAGCGATTCGCCGGAACGGTGACGTCACTCTCGTTTCCAGTGCACCAAGTTACAAGGCGGCGAACTGTACTCGATCGGAGTGGTGCGGCAGATCGGAGGCAATATTCGCCGGAATAACCGTTTCTCGCTCATGTTGCTCTTCAATCTCAGTGTGTAGTGTGTGGCCGGCGAATCACAATAGTAATTATGCGACACTAAATTACAGTTAAACTGAACTCTATAAATTAATACTGTTGGGACCATCAAAATTTCATTAATTTAGCGAAATATTAACTTATCGATAAATTAATTATTATA